GATCAATATCTGATGCCCAGGGGAGCTTCCGGTACGTCCGTGCAGACTTGAAGAATCGGGAGAACTGGTGCTTCTTGAGCTTTCCTCGAGCCACGCGTTTTGCTTGGCCCGTGAAAACACGCACCATCCCGTCGTCCATCTCTTGCACGGCTTCGGTCTCGATCGTGTTGTCTTCTTCCTTGTCGAATTCCTCCTCCTTCACAGGCTTTGAGTCAAACTCTTCATGCCATTCCTTGTCCATCCTGATTCTTTCGGCTGCACGGTCGGCAACTCCTTGTTGGCGATGTAGAGTCGCCTTCCTCCTCTTGCGTTCTTGACTCCACGCCAACGAATGGCTTGCACCGGCCTTGACAGCTTGATAATACCGCGAATCGTGCCAACTTTGGTCGTTCAGGTTCTCCGCGGTGAGCTTAGGCGCTGCCTTGGCTTTCGCTTTGGTAACCTGGTCATCTCGGTGAATCTTCTCTTTCAGCTTGTCCTTCTTGGCCTTCAACACCATGACCTCGGTTTCCAACTTTTGAACCTCTTCTTTCGTTTCGCATTCTTCGCACGCTGCCATCTTCTCGCGAATCGCAGCGTCAATGTTCGCCACTTCCATCTGTTCGATGGTTCGGTGCAAAACTGTCCCGGATGATGACCCTGCGGGTCTTGATGGGAACTCGGCCGAACCAAAGGCTCGACTCATCTCTTCCATCACTCTGGGCTTCACCTCCGCCTCCACACGACCCGCTGAGCTCGAAGCTTGCTCATTGGATCCGGATGCAGGACCGGCCTGACCAACGGTCTGACTCGTCCCGCCATCCTTGGATCCCGGGGGCTGGCCTGGACCAGAGGTCCGACTCTCCCCAACGATCGCGTCTGTCAACTTCTCGAAGTACAGCAAGCGAAGTTCCTGCCTGTGCTTTTCGACTTGCTGCAGTGTCTCCTTGTTCATCTTCCGCAAGCTCTCATCAGGGTCGACCTTCTTCCGCAACTTCTCCTTCACATCGTCCTTGTAGGCCCGGAAGGTCTTCAGTGAGATTCCCCTCATGAGACAGATCGTTTTGTCCACGATATACTCGAAGTCATCCGGCTTCGTCATTTTGAGTGCAGCTCGAATGGACTTCAGGTCCTCGTTCTCCAGGAACCTTTCCCAATCCATGCCGCACAAGTTGCAGATGTGTTCAACATGTCCTCCTTCGTCCAGTCCGCAATTCTGGCAGAAGCAATAGTCGCAAGGGTTCATGCATCGATCTGCATCCTCCAGCTCTTGCTTGATCTCCGGGTCGATCTCGATCTCTACTTCGAGTCCCGCGAGACTGAAGCATCCTGTATCCATCGGCTCTGCATGTGGCTCTGCGGGGGACTCCTCCAGGTTGGACATGTGCTTGCCACCTTTGCCCTTCGACTTAGGATTAGACTTCCCGCCTTTTGGCTTCTGGTTCGCATTCGCTGCACCGCCGCCAGCGCTCCAGCAATCTCGAGCAAAATGCCCCGTCTTGCCACAGTTGTGGCAAGTCTCCGAACTTTGCGAACCTGAGCCTTTGGCCTGGGATCCTTGTCCTTTTCCGCTGCTTTGCCACTTTCCGATGCCCTTCGAGTCGCCCTTCTTCGTCTTGCCGTCTTTTCCTTTGCCTTTGCCTTTCTTGTTCTTCCCTTTGCCTTTCTTCTCAAAGGCTCCAACATCCATGGGTTGTGGATCTTGCCCTCCGGGGGGTTGGCTTGCATCGGTCATTCGAAACTTGGCCCCGAGCCTTGCCTCGATGTATAGCACGATCTCATTGCGCACGTCCAGGTACGATGTGAATCTTGAGCGATTCAACTGCAAATGCTTTTCCAATTCGCCGGGGCACAAGTGTTCCAGCACCGACATGCGTATCTCCTCGTCGAGCTGATGCCGTGTTCCGTCCGGTCTCTTCTTGTGCTCGTACTGCCTTACCATTTCCTCCCAAGATTCGATGGAGTTCGACAGGTCTTCGAGCTTGCTCGCCTTGCTTGGGTTGAGAATGGCTCTCAACATTGCTCGTCTTCGGTTCCCGGTAGCCGGGTCAAATCTTCGTACCAGGCGTCGCCACGACTCCAGACCATTGTGCTTTCCAGAGCTCCGTACTATCTGAAAAGCTTCACGTTCACATAACGTCTGCAGCACCGCAAACAGCTGCGAGTTCATGCTGTCAACGTCCACGACTTCGCGTTCACTGGGGTTCAACGGGCCCCAAGCGGCTTTGATGTCAGCCGACATGATATCATGGTCCATCTCCTCGGCCCACAGCATGATGTCCTCCAGATCCGGATGGATCGAGGTCACAAAGGCCTCCAGTCGAGTGCGCCAGTACAAAAACCCTTCCTCCTTTCCGTCGAACTTGTCCGGTTTCGCTAGTCCACGATTGTCGACCAAGCTCATAGTCTTCTTGGCGTCCTTCGGCACCTTGATGTTTTCAATGAGGTCCTGCTGCGACTGCGCCAAGGCCGTGAACGCTTGCCTCATACCTTCGAAGTGTCCTCCTGGATCGCTTCCTTGTGCCTGCTGAGCGTGAACTAGCATCTCAACTTGCCCTTGTAGTCGTGCTTCGCGCTGCTGTCCCTGGGTGACCTCCTGCCTCAGCTGTCGTACCACGTCGATCAGCTCTTGTGCACTCATCCCTCCAACCGTGGCCATCGCTTCCGGTCGTTCAAGAAGTGGCCCAAATGCCCCCAAACTCGTCGGAGGGAGCGGATCCTAAAGATCTTGCGCACCAGGCGCCGCCAGCGATCAACTCGCCGCTGCTGGAGTGCCCTTTGGTTCCACCTCCAGCGTGCGCCCACCGAAGCGGCGGACAGCACACCGATGGAGGCGACAATCTCGGGCAGGTAGAGGCCAACCAAGTGGATCAAAAGCGCGGCCAACGTAACCAAGAGCTCCGCTACCATGAAAATGTATATGGACGCTCAAAGCTCGGCCGCTCGCGCTTATTTCCCTTGAGCCAAAAGTCGGGGTACGTGTATAGTATGTACATACCCTACATCCAAACAGACTTATATTATAAGTATAATTATACTGTTTATATACTGAATTATATAGTCCGTCGGCATGCAATGGCTTCGTGGCATCCTGCCTGAAAAAAGAGATCAAAAGGGTGTTTGTACTTACCCAAAAACTTCCAAACCCTTAAAAACCCTACAGTTTGGGTCCCGTTGAAAGATACTTACTTTTCCCGTGGCGGCTGGACACCCCTCAAGGGCGCCCAGGCCAGAAAGCAGCCTCCAACTCCTTCTGCTTGGCCTCATGCTCTCCTGCATCGGCCTATGAGGCTGCGACGTGAAGGCATATCAAATAGAGTTTCTCGATTGAAATGGAAACACATCCTGAGTCTTCAAAATAAGTTTGAGTAGACTCCATCTTAACCCAAGCTTCCAAACTACTTTTTGACTCACACTCGCACACGAACGACCAGGCCAGGAGCATGTGGAAGCCAACGCCCCGCAGAAACTCTTTGATCTCGACCGCAAGGGCCGCGTCACGATCGCTTTCTGCGCGCCTGCGGGTTCTCCTCGAACCACTTCAAGGTGGTATCCACCGCATCTTGGATCTGGCAATCCGAGGTAATCAAATGCTTCCAAAAGGAGGCTGTGAACAAAACGAGGATTCGGGAGCCTAACGGATTTCACGAAACGGTCTTGGTTGGTGCTGTTCATAGTACCCCCCGGACGGAGAGGGACGGTGGGCTGTTTGACATCCAAACGTTCCGTGCCAGTTCTGCTTCCCCCCCTCATGAGCCCCAAATGTCAAGCCACAGCAGCACAGCAACGGTCCGACAACGTCTTTGTTCCGAAAGTGAGAGCTTCTCCCACCTGAGAGCTTATTGAAAGTGACAGGCACGTGTTGGCCTCTTGGGCCGCCAATTTGGATGTTCTTCGTGGAGGAAAACCTATCCCCCCCAGACCTGGCAAGTTAAGGTTTCTGTGGAGTGGATAACCATACCCAGACATTCCATGTAATTATGCCATATATGGCTACATTGACCCCCCAAACCACCCCAATCTAGGTATATATGCCAGTCCCATTAGTCGTGTCTGGGATATGTTTCGGGCGCTGCATCGACTGGTCGCTGCACGTCACGTATCGACTGGTCGCTGCGTGACGAACAAGAGCATGGACTGACTGAGACTTGCGCATAGATCCACATGGACTGGACTGGTCGACTCTGAAAACAAACATATCCAAAACATGAAGGAAGTCTGCATGTGGTTGAACATGCGACACATGAATTCTTCGCCATTCCAGACAGGTCACACATCCCAATCTGTATGTGAGAGCCAACTTACCAACTGTACCCGTGCTTACTACGTCCTCTTCATCAACAAGGAACAAGCATCGTCTTGACCCCTTCCAGCGGTTAAATCCTGACGAAGATCATGCTCCCGCCTTGGTGCGATCCTCCTCCGTGAACTTCTCCTTAAGATCCTCCCGGTCCAGTGAACCTGCAGCGGCGGCGAACCGCCAGGTGCCACCCCGCGTTGGGCGCGTGCGCCAGGCTCTGATGGGATTTGGACCAGAATCAGGTGGGTACCTGCATACCACAAGCATCCAGGTGCAAAGGCTTTCTTGCCCCTTGTGTAGCGTCATGGGTCGGGCAGTCCCAGTCTTTGGCCCATCAAAAGGGAATTGAAACGGAATCCGACGAAACACCTCTGATTGGACTTGAAATCACATGGCAGCTGTTGCTTCTTTGCCCCATGTTGCGACCCATGTTGCAGACTCTGATTGCAATGCGTTTCAATGCGTTTCGATACTGCTAACCCACCAAGACACCTCAAGCCTTGTGCTGTTCTCTTCATTCATGCCAATTGATTGACATGTTCACGATTAAGCATCTTTGCAGCGTTTGGCTTGAAGAACTTGTCCATCAACTGAAGGTCGTGTCACGTCATCCATGAGTCCATGGCAAACAGGTCATGAGTCCGCATTGGCCCATGGATGCCATCGACAGGTCGACGGTTCCCGAGGCGGTCCTTTCACAGAGTAGGCATATCGTTCGAGCTCATTGCGGGCCTGGCTGGACATATCAGCATGTCGTCTCAGAAAAACGTTCCTGCTGAGGTTGTGAAAGGAAAGGGGTGATGTTACACAGACTGAACTTACCTGGTAGTAGTAGTCACCAAAATCATTACACAAGCTTGAGACAAACAAGCCATAGCTAGGACCAATAAGTAACCCGTCTGCATACGGGCAAGAGACAGATTCCGGCCCCACGTGACTTGAGATGCACTGAAACAGGAACTCGAAGTCCACACGACCCGGACCGCTGAGACCCACCTTGGGGGGCCAGGACCGCGGGCGAGACCCACCTCCACGTTCTTGCGCAAGACCTCGTCCTCCTGTCGGAACTGCTCGGCTTCCTGAGAGCGTCCAAGGGCGCCACCAGACATGATGACCCAAGAAACCGCCAAGGCGGTCATCCTTTTGAAGTGGCACCCAAATCACGCTGAAAAAGAGTCCGCCCATCCCGGAAAGATTGCGCCTTGACCATCCGCTCAATCCTGAGATCACGAAGAATGTGGGAAGTCAAAGAACGCGAAAGAACACAAAGTGTATAGCTACCAGGCCCCACTAGGGGGTGGTGCCCAAACACGCCTGACCCCGTCTAGTAGGGGGCGATCAATGGACAAACCCTAAAAAAAGGGGTCCTGGTATACATGTATTTCAAAAGGAATCACGGCGGCACGTTTCGGAAGATTGGGTCTATCTCTGGGTTCATGGGATCCATCTGACTGTCCATCTGGTGCAGAAAATGCTTGAGGTATCGGTCTTACATCTCTTCACCAGGGTGACCTTACCAGAATCGTGCGGTCTACCTGGCCAAGTTGGTGATAATTCAAGGTGTTTGGTTTTGATACGCACCGGTCCATTGGCAGAGGGAATCTGAAAGTAGACCTCGACCTTGTCCAACCCCACTCATGTTCCCAAGAGGGGAACTCATAGTTTGAGACAGTTTGGAGTTGGAAGACCATTTCAGATTCCAGGTGGTTGCTGTGTTGGTTCAGGGGAGGGTTAAAACACTTCTTTCTCTCCGTGTTCCCTCCCTTTTGCATCGCTCTGTCACAGCCAATGCCAATGCCAAGCATCTCATCTTTCGAGAGTCGCCCCTTCTCATTCGTGATGGTGATCTTATTGGACCTCAATCACAATGCTTGATGGTGTTCTTATGGTCTTTTCCTCTTGATTCAACGCTCTGAGGCTCTGAGTTTGTTCGAAGAGATCACCCGATGTTCTGACCGCTCTCAGCACATGACGCACACGAAGCAATTCTGACTGCGATGTGAATGTGATGTGAAGTCATCCCAAAAGGAAGAGATAAACATGAGTTGGCTTGGGCCAGGGTGTCGCGAATGAAAGTGCTGGCGCTCCTCTGCAGGGCAGCCGCTTGATGTTCAACAAAACCAAGCAGACTGACAGGTCCATCCCATGCCGTTGTGTGTATGAGGTCAGGCGATTCCACGTCGGCACAGGCTCACAGTTTCGGGTGGATGTCGATTTAGTAGTCGAATGTATGTCATAGTCATATCCATATGATACTTCTCTACATAGAGTGTTTGGGATGTATAAATAAAATCAATATAGAGAAAGAGAGAGGGGGAGAGATTCTTTACACAAGCTCCTACACTAGTGTTCGAAATTAGTATCCAAATCCAAATCCCTCAAACTCACACTCTGAAGCAGAATGAATGAATGTATGACACGCACACAAGCATAAAACACTCAGACTCCTGCTTAATTACTTAAACAATGGTTTGAGAGGCTCAAACCTGTGACAGCTTCCCTCCCAATCGGCCATTTCCGTCTTTCATTCCAGCCGCTTGCCAGTGGTCTGGTCCGCCGCGGAGACGTTGAGGATCTGGGGAAAGAAGGGTGGGGATCATCCCCACCCACACTCTACACAGGCAAGAAGGGCGGTTCCAGGTAATTTTGTCATCCAACACCTGCAAGCTTGTGACCGCTTAAGAGATGCCCAAACACCATCAACCTCCTTGGAACCATGATGGAAGTGGAAAACCCCGCTGTTCGGATTGAAACTGGTCATCCGAACTCGTGGCCATCCACGTAACCATGAGGACTCGAGCAAGCGTAGCTCTTGTTTGGCGTTTCTGATTCCTTCAGGCTGCCCCAACTGGCCCAAGATAAACATGCCGCATGCAAGGTAAGCCGTCGAGAAGCTAGATGGCACTGTGGTAGGAACCTTGACATCCCCTCCAGTTGACTGTCTTCTTCCAGGTTTAGCCGCCCTACACTACCAGCACCTACAACCGGGAAATCCAAATGTTGCCACCCAAAAAAGCAATTGTCTTTCCTCTGCAAAGGGCACAAGGGTAACTCTTCAAACACCCCCAGTGAACAAGGGTAACTCTTCAAACACCCCCAGTGAAGCATGTGTGTCTTGACAAAGGAGGTTTCAGGGAAAATAGGTCTAACCGAGTCTAATCCATTGGTTGATTCCGTGTCCCTGTATGTATTTTCTCCTGGTAGTACTAAACACCCCGACTTGAATAGACATCCACCACTGGTTGATGCGTTCTACCATCTTGGCACCAATCCGTGACCTCCAAGACCTCGGAGAGAGCTCAGAGACTCGACCAAGACGTCTCGTGTTGAGTTCGGCCGTCCATCCCTCACGGCCCATCCCACCCCATTGGAGTCCAAGTCGAAGGCCACTTCGATCTTGGGCACCTCGAGCGGACAGAGCAAGCGGAGGCCGCCAGATCTCCGGCAAGTTGGGAGGATTTCGGGGGGAAAATGGAGGCATATATGGCATACATGGAGTGTCTGGGCTCCCCCAAAAGTGGCCTTGGCCTGGAGCGAGATGCATTCTCCGCATACCAGGAGTGGGGGTTTGTAGCGTATGAAGGAATGGTTGGAACCGACACCAGCTGTAGGTGACACCCCCAGAGTTTTCATACAAAACCCAATGCCCCTGGCTATGTTCGCTGGTGAAGAACATTGGGTTTCCTTCTTAGGGCAATCCGCACGCACACCGTGGCGGAGTTTCAAAGCCATCAAAGTTGGGCACTTCGGACTCTTCAGAAATCAATTGGTCTCATCTTCCATCTATTTATCATATTCCTTTTCAACAAAACGTCTTTTGGGGCTTCAGCCGTAAGGAAGCCTTGGAAGCGGTTTCGGCGGTGGGCCATGCATGGCTAGCCAACATGGCCTCAGGTTCCCAGGTCAATGACCCAGGTCAATGGCCTCACATCAGTTGGTCGCGAACGTGGTCTGTCTTGGTCTTCATGTCTTTGCCGATGGTCCTCCATGCTGACTCATATACAATTCTCAGCAAAAAACAAACTCAATTCCAAGTCCGTCCCAGAGTTCTGAACCCATTATGCATGCTGGGTCACCAATTGTAGAATCTCCAATGCACCCTCTGACTCTGTCTGACCTCTTTCTCTTCACCCCAACTGGCAACTGCTTGGCGTCAGTGCCCCGCGCGGAGCGGGTGGGATGCCGTCGAGGTTGAAGGAGCCCAGCAAACGGTTGTCCCTCCGGGCTCAAGCGACAAGGATTGTGTTGGGTGTTTCAAGGACTGGTAACCGGAATGGCTCCAGCCAGTGCATTTACGTTGGGTCTATCCTAACACCTGTAACAGTGGATGATGATGGTTAGTAAAGGCCTTGTTCAAAAATAGTGATAATTGTCCGGTAATTTTCTCTGACTGTTACTGTTACAGGTAATAGGACAGACCCAATATTTACGAAGAGTTCCCCCCCAAAAAAGAACACTCATTAAACCATCTGGGGGGTATTGTCGAGTCATAAGAGCATTGCCATAAGTCGGCCGTTCAAGGTAGTTGTGAATTCTACCCTCATCTGACACTCCGCGTGTCACTTTGACATTTGGGCGCTGCCCCGCAACAACTTCTGTTGTTTTTGTCCAACACTACCAGTATCTAGGGGATAAAACCTGCAAGTCATCACCCAAAATCCGTTGCAAACAAACGAGACATCCCAAACAAATCAGGTCTCAGTAACTTCACATTGGTGCCAACACACCGCAGGTCTTTCCAAAAAAAAACGGCCCACTTCAAGACATCCCTTTCCAAGAACTCTTCCTAACTCACTCTGCGGATCAACCAGGCAGCGGATCTTCCAAAGCAAGCGCCTCGCCTCGTCATGGACCGTTCGCCCTCATAGACCTGCGGCTGATTCCGAAGGAATCCGCTTCGGACCAGTCGTCTTGGTGCCCAGTCTCCATCCAGGCACCGTCGGAGAATTCAGGGAACTCGAAGTGCATGTCATGTGCATATCTTAGAATGCGTATTTGAAGCTGAGATTTGAATCTTCTCGCACAGACAGAAGGCGACTCACGGCGCGGACGTAAATAAATCACACATCTCTTCTTCTATCAGGAGACTCCTTTTGGACCCTGTCTGGCAAGCCGCTGTACTGGGAAATCTGATAGAAAGAACTGGAAGGTAGACTGCAAGCAGTTTGGATGGAAAGGGAGAAGGATGGAGAAGGGTAGGGGCTCCATGCGTCATCGCCCGGCTCAACGGGTGACCGTTGACGCGTGCGGTGCAGGTCCCGAACTCCACGACTCTCCGGGTTTTGGGGAACCAAAGACGACCTGTCTGGGACTGGGGTGGTTTGATTGGGTCCAAGTAGGTAGTATGTGCCTTGCCCGTCGGTGTCGTGTCCAGGAATGAATGTTATAACTTAGAAATAGTTATCACCTTGTGAATTATGAATGTTTGAGTCCCTGCCTGGATGGTCACGGCCGGCTGATTGTCGGAGTAAGTGGAAAAGACCTGCGGTGTTCGACGTTGATTTGAGGACAGACTCGAAAGCGCAAGAAGATTAGTCTTAACACCAACCAGGCTACTCTCCGCACGCCGCAGGTCAACCATTGATAAGGATACATAAGCTTTACAAGGAGCCGAGATGCAAAGAGATGAACAGATATTAACATAAACTACTAGGGCTACTAGGGGCCACCCAGAAGGCTGGATGGTCTGTCAAACAATGAGTGATTCTCTTCTCTTCTAACCAAACTTGTCTGACCGGTGGTGTTGGTGTTTGTTGGGACCCTGGGTGAAGTGATATGTCTCGCGGGTGGTGGAGTGGTAGACACCCCAACCTCAAGTGCTAGCAGCCACCATGTCCAATCCCACGCTGAAGAACACATCAACACACTCAAAGTCACTTGATCACAAGTGCCCCCTATCACCACACTTACACCGATCCTGATAACCACCACCCTTGTATTGCCAAGGTGACCCCATATTCTTTGGTTTAGGAAAAGGCTCACTTAAAGCTGGAATTGGATTCCTGCGGTTCAATTACGTACATGGTCTTTACCATTCACTAAATGTGTCCGCCAACGTCTAGTCACGTCAGCTGACAAAAGGACTTTTTCGTGCCAGTCCCACCTGCTTCTTGTTGGTAGGGATGGTGCTATTGCGCTCGATGAGCCTCTGATGGGATGTATCCACGGATGCGGCGAAAGTCTTCGGCTTGCCGCGCGACCGGTGCTGTTGGGGTTCAAAGCGTATTGCTGAATGAACATGCGTCATGTATCAACACGCACAAAGGCTGGTGGCCACTGTTTTCAAGTCATTGGGCCTCCACCAACTTCCAGACTAGATCTACCAAATTCCTTCACAAATCATATCTGGATACCCTCGGGTAACCAAAGTTGGCAAAGCCCACTTTGGTGTGGGCTTGGATGGTTTGTTGCTCAACACATGTTGGTGTACTGCCACTGGGGCTGCTGTGGAGACCAAGTCCAACATCTCAAAGGTCCCAACAACTGGTTGGAACCAGGTCGCACGATGTCTTCAGCAAGCGAAGACGTGTCCGGGTCATACGGCTTCAGCCTGGTGTCCAAGCCTTTTTGAGGAAGACACGACTTGATCCGGGCCCGGTCTGGGCCCCCCGGCCGGGTCATGACGCCCCCCGCGGTCTCGAGACCCAAGGATAAGGGTGTCACATCCTGTGGGCGGGAGAAGAGGCCGAACGAGAGTCAATCATCTCGCCGAAGGAAACATGGAGACTCCAACCGGTGTTTTTGTTGTCTTTTTAATGGTTCTGATGTGGTGTGATATCGTGAATTCCTGCACGAAGCCCCTAAAAATCAGAGTACGGCCCATCATGGCCCATCTATCCATACCAACTGGTAGATCTTTGGCCAAGCCTTTAAGTCCAGTTCAAGATCAATCATGTTACATGTTCCAACATGGTGGCACCTCCGGGCTTGGAGGTGTCTTGGGACTCCAATCCAGACCCCTCCGCAACCCCTATGTCAATAGGGAGAATCCCGTGGCTTCTCAGGGGAAACCCGCCAATGTCTGACCTCATTCAAGCAATCCACCCGCTTTTCACGTCGTACCTGGGGAACTGGGATCCCCCACCAACAGGACAATGTCCTTGAGCGGAGAGTCTTTGCCCTGGGCAGGGAAGGTGGTGCTGGCTCCAGCGTGGTGCTGGCAACCGCAAAGTGGCGCACGATCGCGGCAGGAAAGTCCGAAAAAAATCAATTCGATCGTCGCATCATGAGGTCGTAGAGCAAGCAAGCAAGCAAGCAAGCAAGCAAGCAAGCAGGTAGACTGCAAACTGTAGAAGCAAAGGAAGTAAATGATACCACCCACGACATGACTTTTACTCACCTACTATTCAGGCACATTGGCACCATAAAGTTGAAGGGGGTTGAATGGGTTTTCAATGGCAAAACCCTGCAAAACCACACCAGTCAGTTGCTTGTCGAAAAAAAGTTGATCCACGCGATGTTTAACAAGTCACCTTCAGAGTCTTGTACACATGAATCAATCCTCAATCCTCAACGTGTATGGCATCCACCGTCGATGGATCCCAACGACGAGTCCCTTCGAGGCGTCGTTCCGGCCATCCTCCGGAGCCTCCCCGGTGCTGTTCTCGCACCGGGCCCCGTCCGACAGGCCTTGTTGCCGGACAGCACGGCCGCCTGCACGGCCGCACCATAAGCCACCGCCTGCACGGCCACGGGGGGACGGGCCAGGGCCGGACGGGAAGAGGGTGGAGTCAGACGAACGGCGAGGGGCGGTCATGAAGAGATGAAGGCAAACCCCACTCACTGAGTTGAGACTTTCATACATCTTTCTCTTTTGTTCACTCCACAAAAAAACACTAATACCAGCTAGTTTAGATTAAAACACTTGAGGACATGTTCTAACTTCGCTTCTTGAGGCCTTTGGGTTGCCTGTGCTGCCATTCATGACGGTATGATCTACCTGCAGACCTGCAGTACCTGCAGACCTGCAGTAGATTTCTTGGTAAAGCTCAAGATCCATCATGATCCCGCTTTTGTAGGTCCTTGGAGACAAAACCCAACAAATACCTGTTGGAGTTGGAACTGGTGTGACATGGTGTGACAAAATCCCCCAAACAATAACATCAATTGGTTCACTCATGTTCACTCATTGTTTCACCAACTGCACGAGACGAGTCGCAAGAAAAACCAGAAACGCCAGAAAAGGCCATGTACGATCCAGGTGCAGGTCATGCGGCGGTCCACCGAGCCTCGTCCGCGTTGATGGAGCGGCAGGGCTCCTTCCCGAAGTAGTCCTCGTTCGAGACGAGTGGCTCAGAAAAGCGATAAGCGCTGGACATATGGATGTTGACCTCACACACACACTCTCTCTCTCTCTCTCTCGCTCTCTCTCTCTGTCTCTCTCTCTCTCTCTCTTTTTCTTTGTTCATGTCTTTCTTTCTCTCTTACTTTCAGGCCATTTCCATCCTTCCTTTCCCTTCCTTTCCTTTCCTTTCCTTTCCCTTCCCTTCCCGGTCTTCTTCCCCGGCGGAGACGAAGATCGTCCCCAGCCGTGGCAGGTTGAGGTGTCGGAGGGCCACCGCGCGGGGAAAGCATGGGAAAGCCCGTCTGTACTTCCTAGACAGCCCTGATGATTGGGTGAAGCCGGTGAAGCCGTGAGCTCCATCTCGAGGTGTTGGGAACGTGCCGGTCATGAAGATTCACGAGATTGTTGGCACTGTAATTCTCAGAGAAGAGCCCCAAGTTGTCGAACTCACGTGTGAAAACTATGTAATTATTAGTAAACACAAAAATAGATCCGTTGGTCCCAGAACGCCGTCTACTGTGCCTACATACCCAGGCCCAAGCTTCAACTGCGGCATTCACCTCGCAAATCCACTCCAAGACCAATCCCGCCTTCCTGCTATCGCATTTGGTCGCCATCTCTAGACACTGTTCGACCTGATATGACCTCCACTAACCCCTGGCACACCCGCCAACTCGTCCAACCCATCGACCGAAGCCTCAATGAGCTTCTGGACGTATGGGATTCGTGTGGAGCCACCGATGAGAACCACCTCACAACGATTGGTCGAAGGGAGGTGCCAAACAGCGAGTCCAGGTGCTTCCGTGGCGATGGAAGAAGCGTGGCGTTGGAGGTGCGAGGTACTTCGAGGAGGCGAACTAACGAGGTGAGGTTTCTCACCGGATGGTGTGAGTCTCAGCAAGAAAAGAGCATGAAGAACACATTGACATGCACTCTCCACAATTGCAAACACTTCAACGCGGAAAATACAGGAAAAACAATGTTGGCCAAATCATCAGAACATCCTTTAAGACATTCTAAGATCCTTTCGTGGACCGCGACTCAAAAGGGACTCGTGCCGCACCTCGTCCACCTGCTTCCGCTCAACCTTGGCGTCTTCCAGGACCTGCCAAAAACGAAGCGAACGGACGACCCTCTTTCAGGTGAGAAGGAAGCTTCCATGATGTACTTTGAAGTACTTATACTTATAGACTGCAGTAAAAACACCAGCTTAAAGGAGTCAATAATAATGGAGTTTAAAGTACTTGTACCCCAATAATATATACCTGCAACCTCGTGCCTGTCACTTTTTCTGCCGCTGGTTTGTGGCATGGACAAAATGACCGCTGATTCCTGGGTTTTCATCCAAAAACCAAAAACAGCCGCTGGCATTTTTGAAGGGTTTAGCACTGTATCCCACCAGCCCAATCTCTTCTTTTCACCAGCCCAATCTCTTCTTGGTAAATCAGAGGAATGTCAAAAAGCAACTATTTCACAAGAGGCAAGAAAACAGCAACCCTAGGAGGATCTAGGTATATATTTATATATAGTCTATAGTCGTGTGACGCATTCAACAATTTAGCCCACACCCATGTGCAAAAAAGAACTATTTGATACTATTTGTGAGCGGCCATCAGGCCACCGATGATGCTGTCACCAAGGAAGGAAAACCGTGTTTGTCCAGGTACGAAGCCCGGTGTGGAGGGTTTTGAGACCGAACCATTAAGATGTGAACCACGAAACCGCTTTACCTTCAGAGCACTTACCATGAAATTGGTGCGTGAAGAGACAAGCGTCAACCCATGCAGTGTGTCTTTCGGCTTCTATGTCAGTGTCCAGTGTCTTTCTTGCATGACACCAAAACCAAACGAGTCCACACACCTCAGTCTGATCCTACTACGACCATCTTGAGCCTATCAGTTCCTCTCTGAGAGCCAATAAACGCCAGAGGCTATCAGTTGGAGACCCCAATCCACCAAAAAGCTCATTGGGAAAGCACCAAACTATATATAGCATCCTTGCTGCTAGGCCTAAGGGAAAATCAGGAAAAAACAAAACTGCTAACGCCTAGTGGAATTGTTTTCCAACGAAAAGTGCTGAAGATAAAGATATCTCATAAAATGACACTTGGAGCGGAAAGTCGCTTTTGGCCTTAGCCTTCAAACACCAAAGAAGCTCCTGAACTAGTACAACAAATGGCTGTTCCGATTTCAACACCTTCAATCAACGGTGGGCTTCGAAACGGTCGAGAGAAACATACCGGACCGGCCCCCCACGACCGCCGGGGCGAAGCTGCAAGTCACGTGGGGGGCGAACCTTCTGTACTGAGTCCATCGACTTCTTGAAGAGGTCCATATTCATCTCCTGCAGTCGGAAGAGGTCTGAAGACCGGTCGAACCAACCCGCCGGTCAACGACTGACCGGTGAATGACCGGTGAATTGGACGCATGTGACCCACTCCGAACCCAAACTTGAGAGAGGAGGGGGGTGAACGAAAGGTAGCAGGGAGTCAGGCGTAATCCGGGAGGAGGTGAGAGGCCCCCCACTTGTTTGAAGAGAAGTGAGTGAGCGTGATGAAAGAACAACTAATGCACAAACGCTTGACAAAACCTCCAGAAGCTGTAGCGGTCTAGCGGTTTCAATACAGGTTGACGTGCCTTCAAAAGGAGTCACATATTTCTCAAATGCAACTTCGGATTTACATAGTGACGTGCGGCGACCCTTTAAATTGCGTGGCCGCAGGCCATGCTTGCAAACAGGACGTGCTCAAAAACACTGGTATTTACGAGGTTTCGTTGCCGTCGATCCACAGCCGCGGCAAGGTCTAAGGCCACGCTTGAAGACAGGAGGAGCTGAAAACACTGGTATTTACGGTATTTTGTAGCCGTCGATCCAAAGGCGCACCACGGTTGAGCGCTGGAAAAGCGCAGAAAACCGTGTAAATACCGGCGTTTTCTGCCGGGAAGGTGCACAAAACCCTGTAAATACCATAGTTTTGTGCAATTTTGAAGCCTCCAAAAGCCTCAAAAACCCTTTCTGATAAAATCTTTCCTGATTTTTGGTCTTTTTTTGGTCA